CGATCGGCGATCAAGTCGAAATCGCACGCAGTGAAAGAATATTTTGTAATGAACAGAAAGTGAAAGACGAAACTTCCAAGTGTAAATGATCTGATCGGGTACATGTGTGGTTTGTATGTGCGGCTTTCGGGGGCCAGGGGGCATCACGGTAGCACGAAAATGGGGGGAAACTGCCCCGCTTTAGAAAACGTCTTATTTTTGCCACTACCACGTAATATCAGTATTTCCCCCCCCCCTTTTTTTTTTTTTTTTTTGATAATAATTAAAAGGAAAAAAAAATCGAACCTGAAAAGTCCTTTTATTCGGCCGCATAAATACAGGTAAGACCTGGAGCGTTATTTGCGCTGAAGTTCCCTTTTTTCTACTACACTCCTGGTCAACGCACTAATTGTAATTTTAATAAAATTAGTACAAAGTCCAGGTCTTTTAAAAAACTCCAGGGCTGCCTCTGTGGTAAGATGGCGCCTCTCTAAGACCTGCCTCTTCTTAGTGATGAGGAAAAGGCCATAAATCCGTTGTTGTTTATGAAAATTTACAACTTTGCAATACAACTTTATGAGTTGTTCGGTTTTTCCATTGGTCGTTGTCGGTCATGTGGATGGTAACCGTGAACATGAACTTTTTTATAATTTCCCTTGCGAGAATAGAGCCGCATTCTTTTGCTGAGCTCTGTCCTGCTTCGGATCTCTCTGGCTTTCAATCCCCATTTCATTTGTTCTTTGTAAGGCAATAGTGAACAAAGTGTGCTGAGGTTCGGCATAAGCAGCCGCCTAGAACACAGATCCGGGATGGCAATTTCCAGTTCCCCCGCTGGAAGGTGTGGCATATTGGATTCAAAGCACTGGCGTGGCAGATTTTCAACTTGCAACCTGGCTAATTTCCTGCTTCTTCTGGCACCAAAAGGAGGGCGATTCGTCTCCTGTGCAGCCAAAGCGACAGCTGTCAAAGTCGCAGGGGCTCCTGTGAGCCAGAACCTAAAAGGTGAGAAATGTATATGACACTACTGTAAGCAGGGAAAAATGGTTTAATACGTTTAAATATTAGACATGTGCAATTAAACCAAATGGAAATGTTACCGGCCAAAAATAGAGATGGCTGCAGCTCAGTTGATTTTAACTTAGGCAGTGCATGCAAAAATATGCCTAAATAAAATGTTTATTTTCTGTGATTTAGCAAAGAAACGGTGGATTTATTTTTTTTTTTCTCGAAGTTGATTTTTTTTTTGCATTTGGCAGGGGTATGTTGTGACGTTCAGGTTATTTTCTAATAATTCAGTTTTACAGCATCAGTGGAGGGGATTTTTTTTTTTTTTCCCAGCACCAGGGAAAAAAAAAAAGTGATATCCCCAAACATTTTTTTTTAATACTGATTCGCAGCATTAGCTCATTAGCTTAAATTTCATTTGCGGTTGATGAAATTTAGATGTGATTTATTTTTTTACTATTTCATTAAAAAAAAAAAAAAAAAAAACCAAAAAAACCAAAAAAAAAAAAAAAAAAAAAAAAAGAAAAAAAAAAAAAAAAAACCAAACCAAACAACAACCAAACAGCACAATGTCTCCTAGCTTCTCTGCCATGTCCGGGAGGTTATTTCTAGACGGGGGAAACGGCTGAATGTGTCTTAGGTTTTCTCTATCAGATCAAGCGCTGCCTGCATAAATCCCTTGCCCCGCCGTGGGTCCGTTGCCGGCGGTTCGCGACTTGCGCGCCTCGGGTGCGCGGAGCGGGTTTCGCGGCTGCTGAACCCATTTCAGCGCCGGAGACGGAGCTTCCCCCCCCCCTTTCTCTCCTTGTTGTGACTGTTACGGTGCGGCGCTGGGGCGGGGGAGCGGCGGCCGGCGGGCCGGTGCCCCGCGGTGTGCGCCGGCGGGGGGCAGCGAGGACCCGCGGACGGCGCCCCCGGGACCCCCCGCCGCCGCCGCCTGGCTCCGCTCCCGCCTCCTCACGGCGAAAGAGCGGCTCGGAAGGCTTTAAACGGCGGCCTCGGCTGTGCCTGTGCCGCCGGGCTGATAAAGCACTGCATTTGCATTGCATTGCGGTATCCGCCGGACTGGAGCTGCAGTGAGCGCCGATTATTTATTGCGGGTCGCGGGTGCTCAGTGCTGCCACGGCGTGGCGGGATGGCGGAGGCGGGCGCGGAGTGGAGCGGCCCCCGCAGTCCCTGGAACAGCAGCGCTGGCAGCCTGCGCTGCTCGGGGGAGCCCAAATAAAAGACCAAGAGGAAAAAAAAAAAAAAAAAAGCGGTCTATCTTTTTCTCCGGGGGAGTATCGGAGCTCGCCCCCGGGCAAAATATTCCGGCAGGACCGGCTCTGCCCACTCCCCTTGCCCTCCGATTCTACCTCGGTGTGTGTCAACTGCAAGTTACCACGGTGGGAGCCGGCTGGGGAGGAGCCGCCCGCGTCCCCCCGGCCAGGCTCTCTGTACCCCGCCAGTCTAAACAACGGTCCGCCTTGCCCAAACTGTTTGGATTAGGAGCTATTAGTTAAAGGTTGGTTTTGATGACGCTGGCGAGCACGAGAATGATTTGAAAGTGGTTTTATATACTAAGAGAAGGAGGCTTTTAAGCTTAAGAGGGTAACTACTCCCGCACCTGTATCCGAAAGTGGCTGGGGTCGCGGACGCGTTTGCGGCGGGAGGAGGAAGGCGAAATGTTCTGTGGAGGAGGTGCTGGGGGTGCGTGAAATTACGAAAACAAATAAAAAGGGTATGAAATACACAGGTATCGCGAAGTGTGACTTTGTTGCGGTGGCAAAATGCAGCGACTGGCTTTCTTTCTGCTTTCCAGAGTGGGGGCGGGAATGGTAAAGGAAAACTGCTGTGAAATGTGTTCAGGCCGGACATTTCTTCGGCAGACTTGGGGGGCAGCAGATTATTGTGATTCGGGTTTTTCTGGGGTAGGGGGAGGAGCGGAAAGGACGCCTGAATGTGACTGAAGCAGAGATTGCGGTGCAGATTGCTTGGCTGTCACTGTAACTACTCGAACACGACCCAGTCAGGCAAACGTGCAGATTTCATTCCTTTTCGTGTTATGGGATCGGCGAATAAATATTTTCGCTGCCTGCCGTCGGGCTTTCACAACTTGGTTTGGACGCAAACAGTAACTTGAAAAACGGGAAAGAAACAAAAAGAAATGGAGGGGGAAAAAATCAGCCTGTAACCCATGCTACAAAATGTAAATATGACTAAGCCTGAAGCGAATTTTATTTTAAATTTTGTTTTGGTCTTTGTGTGATGGATTCAAACAAAAGATCGTCTGCCCACAACTTTTTGGAAGTAAGGCCGATGGGGTTTGTTTGTCCCGAGTATTCCTTTTTTCATGGTGCGTTTTCGTTTTGACTTAAACTGGCGAAAAATTATGCTCTTTTAAAAGACTTTTCGCGTTTAGCATGCTGTGTATGAGTGTTTGCTTGCTGGTGTTTCCTCCTTTTTAAACTCTATTCTCACAGGCTAAAAAAACCCTTATTTTTCCGGAGAAATCTGCTTTTCAGGAAATACATGTTTCTGAAATGACCTCTAAAAGCATGCAGCTAGTGAGCTGTAATTCTGCCAGGTGTGTTTGTTGATTAGCTGGGCTGAAGAGGTTAAGGAAGTTGAAAAAAAACCCGAAGGCAATCAACATCTGAATGTGAAAGTCCAGCTGAGACTGCAAACAATACAAACTATTGTGGAGCGATGTTTTAACTCACTACTGTTTTATAGGTATCGTAATCTGCCCCCGGAAATGAGACAAATAGTCTCCCAACAACAACAAAACTCTCCTTTGAAAGCTGCTTTAGGAAACGCTGCTCGTACGAATGTCACTTTACGTGACAGAGCGCGTTTAAAATTAGTCTATTCAATCTGTTGTAATGGGCACGGATTATGAGTAAACACATATTGGAATGAACAACCTCATGTTATCTGCAGGAACTGCAGGGTTACGGCTGAATTAAACCCGCATCAGCGAATTTCGTCAGAACAGTTACTGTCCGAGCCCTGGGCCAAGAATTATATTTCCGCTATGGGGTAACTGCCATATTGAAAAATGAAGGTGGAAATGTTTGTTTCGGGTATTGTTCTTCCCCTCTTAAAGACACAAATCCACGTTTAATCAAATTATTCGGAGCAACAACGAAACCGATTGGCTTCTGCTGACTCATTAGTGGGGTCGTATTAATTAGGAATAGTCCTACTGGCTCGTTTTTGAATTTGAATGTTTGATACCCTCGGCTCTACTCTGGTGGGAGGAGGGTGGACTTGGGGAGAAGAGACACATGGAACTTCATCTGGGCTGCCGGGGGGCGCCGGGAGCCCATGCGGCGCTTCCCGAGGCCTCCTCGGACACTTGGTGCAAATCAAAAATTCCACTCCCCAGAAGGCCACCGCTCCAACCTCCTAATTATGAGGGATGTTCATTAAGATACGAGACCTCTTCCATTGCAGGACGCGTTAGTTTCTCTCACAAAAGCTGGATTCGGCGCTGGGGCGGGCTCCCTGAGCTCCGAGGAAAACCTTAGTGGAGGGGCAATTTTCGACTGAATGGATAAATAAATACGTTTTAGAATAGCTTAAAAATTCTTGGATGCAGTTGTGGCATCGCGACGGCAAAATGGAGAGAGGCCGAGGCCCCCCCCCCCCCCCCTTCGCCCCCCACGCTGCGCGGCGCTTCTCTCTCCGTTTCACGTGCTCCCTCCGCTCCAAAGTTTCCCTTCGCAGCATCCTCCGCCGCCGTCTCCTTCCCTCCCTCCTCCTTCCCTCCTCCGGAGAGCCGGGGGCGGTTCGCCCACCCTTCCCACGGGGTTGCGCGACTCCCTGGCCGTGGGGCCTCCAACTTTTAAGGGCGCCCCCCTACCCACACCTCCGGCGGCCGGGGGGTGTCCCCGTTACCCGCTCTCGCACCGCCCGCGCTGCCGGGAATTATCGCTGTTCCTGTTGTTGTTATTATTACTGGGCGATTTTCCCGCGTGGGGGCGGTGCCGCG